AGTTGAGACTCTGTACGCCACTTGACTGCCTCCCAGCTTGGCCAACGAGTCCATGATCTTGCCAAGGACATTCATGAGGATCAGCGGGTCTGGCAGCGTGACCTTAAGTTCTTCAGCTCGCTGCAACCATCGGCGCCATTGCCGCATCGTCGCCAGGAGCTCCGTGACAGAGTGACCCACCTTCACTTCGGTGAGGCTTTTGAGAAGCGTTGTGCGTTCAGCTCCTCCTCCAGGTTGAAACACTACAAACAACTTGAACAGGATGCTCACAGTTGTGACGTGGCGAGAGGAGATGACATCTCTTCTCAGTTGTTCGGGCAGGATGCCCAGCAGCAATGACACTCCTGCAATGCCGCGCCTTCGGATGAAGGTAATGGAAGGGCAGGAAGATCCAAAGCCCTGACGGTCTCTGGAACGACCGGAGCCAGCGGGGTTCGAGCCTCCCCATGAGGTTGTCCACCATGAAGGCCTGGGGGAGGATCTGGTCCTGACCCGGGAGGTCCACCTGCACCTGAGGGATCACCATGTGGTAGTCCAGGATGTGTTGTGGTTCCACGACCATCAACTCCACCACTGGCAACGGAGGCATACGACGATGCATCACCACCACCTGCTCCATCAGTTATGCGTTTGACTTCACGAGCGAACTTCTCCTCCGCCTCTTTGAGGATCTGGGTACGAAGTTTCTCAACATCCCCAGGTCCTGGACTTCCGTTGGTAGCCCGAGCACCTGCACTTTCTGCCATTCTCACATGACCTTCACCTCGTGCAGCTTGTTGAATTGAAGTGGTCCAGAAGGGGTTCACAGTGGCAAGGGGGCCCTGTGGCGTGCGAAATGGTTCAAGCACCCTGGGTTTCACCTCCTCCCGCTCTACCTGCCTTGTGCTTGCAGGCGTGCCCATTCGTGGATCACCATGTGGAGCTCCGGGTTGATGTGGAGTTCCAGTCAAAGAACCTTGCCCAGCAAAAAGTCCGCCACCTGGTGGATGAGGTAGTCCCGAACCAGGTCCTTGAGGTAGTTCAGAACCTCGAAGAAGGGGGTCAAGAAGTCCCGGAGCAGGAGATGGTGGCATGTGGTGGCCCAAAGCCTGTTGCAACAACTCGAACGACTGGCGTGCTGCATCTTGCAATCCGCCCAGTCCCAAGGCATTGGCCCGAGGATCATGCAGTGCACTCATGACGCCCCCAGCTAGGGCAGACTGCCCAGTGGTTCCATCGTGATGCCCGCCATGATGTCCAGGTTGTTGTGCCCCACTTCCTTCTCTTCGCCCTCTCTGAGAATCTGCTGCCCCATCAGCGGCAGGATGCATAGCCAAGCGCCTGACAGCCAGATCATCTTCCGCAGGCAATGACGAAGCCCTTGCTGCTCGTTGCTCTCGGAGCAGGCGGTCAAGCTTCTGATCTGCTGTCTCCTCTGGTAGTCGTCGTTGTCGATCTTCTCGATGTGCACGTCGAGCGTCCGGCCCATCTGGTGCACCAGGGTCGGCTCTTTCGCGAGAGCCTTGCCTTCTTCGTCTCTGCAGCGCTGCCATGGCGGCCAACAACCACACCTCTCGCACAGAGGTTGTGGGTGGTCTTCGAAAAAGCTAGGCCGTTGGGCTCATAACCTAAGGAGGTATGAGTTGGGGTGCAATGCAAGCGGTCCTTTTTCCACCTGCTCAGCTTGAGCCAAACCGTTTGGTTGGCGAAGTTCATCAACACAGCTCGAATCGAAATGCTCGATCGAAAAGCGAAAATGCTCATGAGGTGCATGGTGTTTGTCCCACACAATCATTTGTCTTGATGCCATAGTGAGGAGCATGTTGCCATGGTCGTGAATATTGTAGTTCTCGATTTTGCTTGCTGTGGTTGGGTGTTGTGGTTGTGGTTGTGTTTGTGATTGTGTGTCTGTGGCTGTGTGTTTGTGATTGTGTTTGTGGTTGTGTTTGTGGCTGTGTGTTTGTGGATGTGTTTGCGGTTGTGTTTGTGGTTGTGTGTTTGTGGTTGTGGTTGTGGTTGTGTTTTTGTGGTTGTGTCTTTGTGGTTGTGTTTTTGTGGTTATGTGTGTGTGGTTGTGTGTTTGTAGTTGTGTGTTTGTGGTTGTGTTTTTGTGTTTGTGTTTTTGTGGTTGTGTGTTTGTGGTTGTGTGTTTGTGGTTGTGTGTTTGT